CGACCGCCTCTGGTGTGGTTGCCCCGCCGGCATTGGCCGCGAGTCGCCGCCCAACTAAGGGTGGCGACGGACTATCCCACAATCATAGCCCTAACCCTAGATCTTCTTCGAAGAAGATGAAATCTTATTGGGTTTATTTTCATTAAGGGTTGTGATCCTAAACTCATTAAGATTTAATTTTTAGTTAAATGGGTCTGATCCGCAAATAGAACCCAATCCCGAAATCCCGATAATTTGAATTTTACTGTAATATTATTATTAGACCCCTGGTTGACCAAGAAATTGTTCTGAAATCCACCGGATTCTCAAATATACTATAAAATTAGTTATAGCTCCCTGATAAATCCAGAAACTATTCTGAAGCCCATGAGTATTGACAAGTTGCTGTAAAATTAGTTACAAACACATGTTTGATCCAGAAATTGTTCTGAGTCTACTAGTATATTAAATTTGATGTGAAATTAGTTTCAGGCCCCTGGTTGATTTTGAAATTGCTTTAAGATCCATCTGAATATATAGACTAATTTTTGATTAGTCCCTAACAGTTGTAGAATTTGTTCTGAAGCCCATATACATACATAGTTTATTTTCTTATGTTGAAAAGATTATTTAACTCTTGTTGATTGATAATGTATCATTGTATTTTTGAAATACTTGTTTAAATTATATATGTGACATGGTTGTATTGTTTTAAATTGTTTAATTTTAATTTTTCATGAGATTAAAGAAATACATAAAAATTACTAATAGGTCCAGAATTGTTTTTATTAAATAAAATAGTTTAGAATTTTTTTAGAAATCAAGTGTTTATTGAATTCATAAATTTTGTTGTGTTCTCTCAGTTATGATAAATAACAAAAGTTGTATAGAATTGTAGATAGATTAATTTTTAAAAAATATAAATCTAAAGATCTTCCATCATAGAGATATAACTTGGATAATAATTTTTTAGCTTATCTGATGTCACAAAGGATAGGTGTTAAAATTTATTACCTAGTTATATCTTGGATAAGGATGCCAAATATTTTATGTATAATGGGACCACTAGACTAAAATAGGTGGTGCCACCTGTTTTATATAAAATAGCTGGATTGATGGGCTAACATTTCATTGATGTCTTGAGGTGCTCGCTAAAATAGTGAGGTACATCTTACATCAAGAACCAAAATTTAAAGGAAAATTTATTAATTGTTAATGATTGAATAGATGATTCTACTTTGTTTAATTATATTCGATCTTTAAAATCTGGAGGTTTATAATTAAACTTGGATTTCTTGTTTACATTTAAATAAATGAGAGAAATGTTAAATGTGAAATCATTACTTAAAATATCCATAGTAATGATTGTACAATAATAAAATAATTTTTGAGATATTTGTGTTATAATATTCTGCTTATACATGATGACTAATTTTTTTTCATTTTGATATGTTATTGAATGATTATAAATTAGATAGCCCAAACTATTGGATTGGAAAATATTATTATTAAGCATGTGACATCGATAATGATGGATATCGAACTGGATTGTCCAGTATTAAGAAAAGAAAATTTTCTTAAGAGAGAAATCTGTTAAGTAGAATAGATTTCTTAACATGAAGCAGGAATTTAAATAATGAAAGTCGTTAGAAAAGAAAATTGTAATGGTTGCATTATATCACTTAATAAAGAAATGTCTTTTGAAGACATCTCACTCATTGATTAGTGGAGTCCACTAATGTGAATCATTTTTATATATGATGTATTAATCTTTACTTACTTACAAATTGTTGTAAGAGTACAAGAAAAGATTAACTTTGACAATAGAAATAAAAGCCCTAGTTTCAGCATTGTAAATAAAAATAATAAATAATAAGAAATTTGTTTCATCTTTGAGTAAAGGGCATGAAACGAAACTTAAAAATTGTTTTAATGTTTCTTAAAGTTAGAAGAAATTTGATTTCTATTTTCTAAATTTTATAGTAGTGATTGTCTGTTTTATTGTAAAATAGAATATTTAATAAAAGTTTAGAAATTGCTTTGTTGACAATTATGAAATTAACAGGTTATTATGCATGACACATATATATGAGATGTGGTGGTGGGTCTCAACCACCGGGAATAGGGATTCTCCGGGTGTATGTCATAAGCACACATTATGATGTGTGTAGCACTAGATCGTATTTGAATTCTCTAGGACGAGTCACCTAAGAAATAGAGAATTCAAATTGTTACATGGTTCGTTTGATTTGATAATATTGTTATTTTCGATATGATAATTTAGTATGCTTTGATGTGATGGTTAAGCTTGTTTAGCAAACGCTACACAACCTGAAACATCGGGTTACTAAATTTTATTTAGAAAAATGATAGATGCCTAGATAGGATCCAATATGCTTATTATGATGAGTTAATTTATTATGCATTCCCATGAAGCTATTAAATTCCTACTGGCAGGTGGCTTTGAAAATATTTTTTTAATTTACTTTCTTATAAAAATAAAATATTTTGATGTTTCAAAATAATTTTTATTTATGTTCATGTGAATTGTAATTTAGGCATGGGCAAATAGGTGAGTTATCTTTCTTAAAAGAGTTGCCTAAAATAAATGATACTGGAGGGGACTGAATGTAGTATATTATTTATTAATAATTAATTCCATATTATGGAAGAACTTTTATGAACAGTTGGTCGGATAGGGATTTAATTATTAAATTAGCATTATTAATTTGATTAATAATTGGTTATCGATATGAGACCCAATTGGTCTCACTAATGTTATTAAAAGAGGTATACATGTAATGCAAATATATTTCTATCCTTAATTGTTATGGATAAAGTTTTTGAACAAATCTATTACCATCCTTAATTGTTATGGATAAAGTTTTTGAACAAATCTAATTCTATCATTAATTGTTATGGATAAAGTTTTTGAACAAATATATTTTATCTTTAATTGTTATGAATAGAGTTTTGAACAATTATGAATTGTTTAAAATTAAAATATCTAAGACTAGTCTAATCCTATAAATAGAATAGAGTTTTGAACAATTATGAATTGTTTAAAATTAAAATATCTAAGACTAGTCTAATCCTATAAATAGAGTTCATATGTAGTGTTTAAAATTAAAATATCTAAGACTAGTCTAATCCTATAAATAGAGTTCATATGTAGTCTTATGAAGAGAAAGAAAAACTTATGAAGATAATATGAAGAAATAAAAATTTGAGAACTTATCTCTCAGTATTGCTCCTCTTCGATGACGAGTGGATTTCAATTGAAGGTTTTTTTCTCTTGAGGAAGTTTTTTCAAATTGATCTCGGATCAGATTATTATAGAAATTCGGAAAGTGTTTCAGCTATAATTCTAGATTTTTATTAATTTTGATTAATAGTCATACTATGTTTTTTCCGTTGCTTTGTATATCACGAATCAAACAATTATATCATATTTTAGCGTACCAGAATGTAATTATTTCCTTAACCAAGGGGAACAAAATGCTATCCAGCATATAATTAAGCGGGTCGCACATTTAAAAATTGGGAAACTAATATTTTTAATATCTACCAATTTCTCCCCATACGCTGCGAAAATAAACAAACTGAACATAAGGAGAAATCTGAAACCAGAACGTTCACATGAAACACTTTCATACAGAAAACCCTACGTACGTCACACAGTACAAAGTGAGAGCTTTGAGAAAGCAAACTCTTAATACCTCCACTTATCCTAGCTTTTGTGCCTTTTAATTAAACCCTGCACAATTAGAATAAAGGTAACAGTTAAATTAAATCGCTAATTTTCCAGCTAATAAAACAAAGGAGCTCTTATACTGATTCAATGTTGGACTTAAGATTACCTAGCTTGAGATCGAGCCCATTGCTGTTGAATGAAGTTGATCCTCCCACTCCCATCTCCCTTAGCGCCTCTATGTTGGCAAGCTGCGTAGATTAGCAAAGAACTGAGGATGTACATCACTTTAGATAGAAGTAAGCAGGTAACATAAGCTACAACTAATTAGTTGCATTTTATGAAAACTATAGCTAATCTACTCCTCTATACAAATGGGAGAACCCAAGATTTACTATTTATGCTACAGTAATCATTACAGTAACATTACTACTGTAGCAAAGAGGAAAAATTACTACGGTAGCAAATAGGAAACGTATAATATAGCAATTTTTTTAAAAAATCACTGTATCACACGGTAATACCGTAGCAAAGACGGGAACGGTAGCTACCAAAAAAATTTAAAAATTACCGTAGCAATTAAATCAGGATTACTATAGCAAAAATGATATGACGTGCTTTGCATAGTGTTCACGACTAGAAAGCATAATAAGAGATGCCTTTTTTTAATGGTAATTGGAGTTTAACTTAGTTCTATCCTATGAAAACAACATGGCCGAGTAAATCCGGAACCTCAGCGCATGTGGGCTTCCCTTTCACAAGTCAAGCCCATGTACAATACGAGTGTTGTCGAGCTTAATAATTAGAAATTGGGGGTCAGCTGCGGTTTCTTCTACTTCATTTTATTTCCGTACGAAGAAGAAGTTCATAAAGTAGGACGCTGACAAAGTAACCTTATTAAGGCTACATTCTTTAATTAATTTGTTTGTTTATTACTGTTTTTCGTTCTTTTGTTTCCATTCTCCTTTGGGAAGCTATTTGTGGGCCAGTTTTGATCACAAGCCCACAACAGGGTCTAGTAAATCTAGCCCATCTTGTTCAGAGTCGTCCCTAAGAACCAAACTGAAAAGCCTAGTTCTACCTAATTGCTGAAAAGCCTATTGGCGCCGACTAAAGACAGGCTTTTCCATAATAATAATAATAATAAAGAAAAAAAAAAACAGAGACAGGCTTGAAATTTAATTTACTGCTATTTTCCCCTCTTCTTCCAAGGAAAAATTCATTTGCTTTTAAAAACAGAAGCTACCAATTAACATATGACGCAGCGTAATTTACCTTCTCACAGAGTCCGTATCTCTTCTGCTGCTGATCATTCACCTTCACCGTTTAAAAAAAAAAAAAAACTTTAGATGACCAAAAATCTTTTATCATATATAACATATTAATACGTAAACATAGAGTACAAGAGCCGTGTATCACTCGATTTCTTACTATTTCTTTCAGAGCACTCCCATAGAAAGAAATAATAAAATCTACACTATTCATGAGTGCTCTTCTATCTGTGACATAAACCAACTCATTGCCATGGGGATAGTTCGTACATGATCCTTACTCATAACATAATAGTACCTCAAGTATATGTCGGATACAAGATGTCATCATATTTTTTAGCAAAATGAATTATGAAGATATAAGTGGTGGTACTTAAGCTACTTGATGTCATCATTATCATGCACTTTTCCCCTTTTGAGCTCTATACACGTGTATCCAAAAGATAAACTTAAACGTAATTAGTATGTTAGTAATATATACCATATTTTGGAGTTGACCCATTTCTCCATTGATCTTCCTATTCTTCTCCATCCTGACCTTGTTCATGGCAACCTCCAGATTCTGCTCCAAAATTTCCAAAACAGGGAGAGAGTAGTCTAGGCTTTCATCAATCGTCATGAACCTGTTTTCACAACAATTTTTTTTAATTTTAATTTCTAATAATCTCATCACTAATTTATTTCACATGCACACATCAGCCGGTCAGATAAAACAACCACAAGAAGGAAAAGGAAGAAAGAAACACGAGGAATACCTTAGTTCTTTCTCCAAAAGTTCACATAGATTCTCCACCTTCTCAACCTCTGCACCCTGATCCTAATGAACATCATGAATAAAAGTATGCTTAGCGATAACTAAACATGAGGCCAAAAGGGTTCAGAGAGTAAAAGCTCAATGTATAATACCACGCAGTGATTCCACACTTTAGTTTGAGTAACCATCTCATACCTCTCTATTAACTCCCTAGAACTGCAAACATTTACCCGAAACAAAACACAAATCGAGTCAGCATTCATAAATTTAGACAACACAAATGCCCAAAATACTAAAACAGGAGAGCTTTTAAGTAACATGTACCAGGGAACAGAGGGGGTATGGAACTCATAGAGCTTTCCAGAAGAGGAAAAAATGACGAGAAGGAGATTGGTGTCGCAGAGAATTGAGAGCTCCTTGGCTTTCTTGAACAACCCATCTCTTCTTTTATAGAAAGTGGACTGCCTCTGAGTTGGGTTCTCTATCCTCTTTATCTCCATTTTCCCTCTCCCCATTTTTATAGAAAGTGGACTGCCTCTGAGTTGGGTTCTCTATCCTCTTTATCTCCATTTTCCCTCTCCCCATTGTGAGCCGAACTCTCTCTCAAAACCGGCGCTGAGGACTCAAAGGATGATGAGTCTTTCATAAATATAGAAAATTCGATTGCAACTGTGTCCATATATTCTAGTACTCATTGCGCACTGTTGTAGGTTTAGGTGTGAGTCTTGCACAGACGTAGGATTATTTATTGTGACATCAGAGTTGAGGTATGTATAGGGAAAGCTAAGGGGAGTAGGTTGATTGATTAGGGCTTCAATCATGAAGACCAGAGTGACAGGATGTTGAGTTACTTTGGTTGGGTGCAGAGCGAGGAGGCACCGCATCGACCTTCAGATACAGCGATGCTCCTTTTGTCATTTTTGCTACGCTTTGAGGTTTCATACTCGTAACCGGAGTGTTGCTTTTGTTACGAGAGAAAAGTGTAAATTTCCCAAAAGCCCCAAAACTTTAGGGCTTTTCCCACGATATTCTCTCGGGACTTTGAGCATGTTTCGCTAACGGTCAAAATGTCTTATAGGTCACTCTTGCGACTTCCAAATAAATTTAGCAAATAACTTATTTTGACTTATTATCCATCAAAATATAGCATATGATATCCACGCTTATTGTTTAGTGGATTATAAGCCATAAAATTTGATCAAGTAAAACGTATATATATCCCTCATAATTTCACAAAATTTCAAGTCATATCTTTTATAATGATTATAAGTTGTACTACAGAAATAACCAAATCTTAATCAAAATCGATTATGTGACACGTGTCTCAAACAGATTATACACCGTCTCGGGCACACCGACTTCTCGAAGGTCGAGACGAAAGGCACCCCTTCTCGTCTCCCTCGAAGGCCAACAAGAAAGGCATCCCTTCTCATCTCTCTCGAGGACTAAAACAAAAGGCGTCATTTATCGACCCTATCACAAGAAAGAGACGAGAGGCAGTTTGTCCTCGAATTCCCCACCGACAATTAATCACCATCACATTAAATGCACGGTCGGAATCATCATTACTCCGGCTCCAAAAATCTTAATGACTCATTGGACCATGTCAGCATCATGTTGTTTTTGTCATCATCACATTAATCACATAGGTGATTCATATCATTTGCAGCCGACACCTATAAATGATCTGCCGACTAAGTTGTCTACTTTGACTCAGGCAAAAATATAAAACTACCCTCCTGAACTTGCTATAAATTGGAGCACTATGTACTACAGGGAAGTAAGCAATTTTTTATAAATAAATACACTATAATCATACTTTTTTCCTCCACTCAAGCTCACTACTAACTTGAGTATTGTAGAAACTACCGGAGATCCCAACTCCGATCCTCTCACGCGTTGTTTGTGTGCAGGACTGAATCCTCTGCTCGATATGCAACCGTCGAAGAAGATCAAGAGACCCTATAACTGAACATAATTCACACTACAATTCCCTATTTGATAACCAACATCAACATAAGTTGTATTTTTTAGTCATTTGACAATGATGATGGATTATAATCTATCAATTTGCCAAACATTCTTTTTTTTTTTTTTGAAATAAATTTTCATGGGTTATAATCCATTTACAAGCTATAATCCATTTGTGGATCTCAATATTAGTGGATTATACTCCAAAGTTACCAAACATGTTGTTTTCTCTAATAATTTTTATAACTTTTCTCACAAAACCCACCAAAACTACAAAAGTATTAAATAATTTTCCAAAACATTTACTTTTTCTTACGAGGACTCCCAACAAAAGCAAGAATAACATGAGATGATGAGCTACAACTTACAAGGTATGGGTTGGGCATGGGCCAGGTTGACCTGCGGGCTGATCTGGCCCAACCCTCCATGGATCACAATCCGGCCTTGTCTGTAGTGGGACGGGCCGGTTCCAGCCCCAAACTCGGGGTCAGAGAAATAGGCCCAGGCCATGCTAGACCTGGCCCAATCCGCCCCGGCCCATGATATATTTTTTGTTAGTTTAGTCGTTCATTTAGCACTTTGAGTATACGGCTAGCTGCCAACAAAGCCAAAAGGGCCATAGGTCTTTGACTTGAGCGTCTTTTAGCCCATTGAAAAACAAAGAAGCGAACTTTAAGTTTGTGCTGTCTATTTGGAATGATTAAAAAGTTTAGTACAAGTTTAAAAATAGTTTAATACAAGGTTTAAATTACTAAAAAGTAAATTAGAAATACTTTGATGATTGTGAATACAAATTCCGTTCAATTAAAAATGTAAAAAATAGGGGGGAGGGATTGGACAAAAAACTCCTGGGTCGGCCCACAGGCCGTGGGCTGGGTCAAAGGCGGTCTGCACCTAAACAGGTCATGGGTCAGGTTGGGTCCAGCCATAATCCCAGGTTCAGAGAAGTAAGCCCGACTCACTCTGGCCCGATTGGCACTAGGTCAAGCCCAGTCTAGCCTTGAGCCCTGCAGGCCGGATCACAAGCATGAACCGTCCCGACCCACACCCACCCCTATAAAGAAGGAAATAGAAAATTTAGCCAGGCAGTACGTTTTTTTTTTTTGATTGCAAGGGACACTGTTTTATAATTTAGTGAAAAACGTTAATGATTTTGGGGGTTATCTTAGATATTTTGAAGTTATGGGAAATAGACAGTTTGGGGATTTCATCACAAACACCCCAAAGTTTTGAGTTTTGTGGATCATACCCCAAAAGAAAGTTGGCCTCAATAAAGTTCATGGAAAAACTTCAATTTTATAAATTATGAAAATTCTTCTATATTTCCATTATTATACTTAACTCATCTAAACTATCGAAAATTTGCACGGATGACCTTAACAACGGGAGAGTAAAAAGTCCAAGATTAAAGAACCAATCAGCTGGTCATGTTTCTTAAACCGATCAAGTTCAAGGGGTTTTGCACAAAACCATCGAAAATCCAAGTGAGTTTTCTGAATTTGAACCTTTTCTCATATTTAGTCTAGGATATGAATTTAGGATTAATTAGTTCTATAATTCTCCTGTAGTTTAACAAATAGTTAAATTTAACCCAAACTTAATTTAGATATCTTTAAAAGTTTATTTTACGTCGTCATGTGAAACTCTGGTAAACAGCACGCCAATAAATAGCCTTGTAAGTGGCCGTGAACAGTAAGTGCTAGGCAGGGAGTTTGTGTTTTGCTTCCCTCTCCACCTACACACACATACATATTATTTTGTGTTTGATCCAAACGGCATCAGAGTCATGTTGTGCGCGGCGGAAGCTTTCTTGGGCAACACGAACAATAACTCGAACTAAACCACAAACAATATGCAAACAACAATCACAGCAAGAACACACAATTTATGTGGTTCGGCAAGTTGCCTACGTCCACGGGGCAAGGAATGGGGAGTTCTTTCTACCAGAAATCAAGAGAATACAAATAGGATTACAAATCTCTCAGACCAAACCCTAAAACAAAGCTCTAGATCTCTCAAAGCTCTCTTACAATTGGATGCAATGATTCTCTCTTGGAGGCTGCTCAAAATCGTCCTTGAGGTTACCCTAACAAATCAGGTTTAGGGTATTTATAGATTACAAAACGAAACGGGTCAAAAAAACTGGAAAAACTGATATCCGCTTCGTCGGTCGATCGGCCCGGTCGACCGATCACCATTCAGCAGAAGCCCCAAAAATCCAGAGAACCGTCGGTCGACCGCACCAGTCGACCGAATCATCTGCGGTCGAGGGCGGGGGGGCCCGCCCCCCCCCCGCCTGGTTTGACTGATTCTTCTGAGTTTCTGTAATTTCTTCAATTCTCCACCTCGGCGAATGTTTCCACCAAAAACTGAGCCGACACCAAATCATCCAATAGTTCCTCAACAAGTCCAGGAAAAATACTCGAGCTGGAACACGATCTCTCTTGATCAACTGATCAAACCGGCTGCATCTAAAGACTGCCTACGTATCCTCTTGCCCAAGGAATCAAGCCGAACGTAGTTCACCCAAATGGCCGCCAACGGCCTCAGCACTGAAGGATGTTCAACAACTTCAAACAATGACCAAATTTTACTCCTGAAACTACTTTGGTCAACATATCTGCAGGGTTGTCATTTGTGTGGACCTTCTCCAATATGACATCTCCATCATCCAAGACGTCCCGTACAAAGTGGAATCTGACATCGATGTGCTTTGTGCGCGCATGATAAACCTGGTTCTTTGCCAAATAGATAGCCGACATACTATCACAATATATCCGAATAGTCTCCTGAGCAATCCCCAAGTCCTCCAATAATCCACGCAACCATAAAGCCTCCTTAATAGCTTCAGTAACTGCCATATACTCTGCCTCTGTAGTAGAGAGAGCCACTGTGGACTGAAGCGTGCAACGCCAACATACAGGTGCACCTGCCAAAGTAAAAGCATAACCTGACGTAGACCGGCGTTTGTCAAGATCTCCAGCATAATCTGAATCCACATAACCAATACAAGCCTGCCCGTCCTTCTCATCCTTCTGAAACACTAAACCAACATCCACGGTGCCTCGAACATACCGTAGAATCCACTTCACGGCCTCCCAGTGACCCTTCCCGGGGTCATGCATGTATCTCGATACCATGCTCACGGCCTGTGACAAATCTGGCCTCGTACACACCATCGCATACATCAAGCTACCTACTGCACTAGCATATGGGACCTTCGACATATAATCTCTGTCCTCAACTGAAACAGGTGACATCAACGCTGAAAGCTTGAAGTGGGGAGCCAATGGTGTGCTAACTGCTTTTGCATTGCCATCAAAGCTGAATTTCTTCAACATCTTCTGCAAGTAGCTCTTCTGTGTAAGCTTCAATTTCCCCTTCACCCTGTCTCGCTCGATCTCCATACCCAATATCTTCTTTGCCTCTCCAAGATCCTTCATCTCAAACTCGGATGATAACTCCTCTTTCAGCTTTCGAATAGCTGAAGAATTCCTGGAAGCAATAAGCATATCATCAACATATAAAAGCAAATATATGAGCTCACCATCCTGTAGCTTGTGCATATAAACACATGGGTCATATGGGCTCCTCGTGTACCCTCGGCCAATCATAAAGCCGTCGAATCTCTTATACCACTGTCTTGGTGACTGCTTCAAACCATAAAGAGACTTCTTCAGCTTACAAACCAAATTTTCCTTTCCTGCAGCTTTGAAACCCTGTGGTTGTGTCATGTAGATCTCCTCATCTAAATCACCGTGTAGAAAGGCTGTCTTCACATCCATCTGGACCAAATCCAAATCCAACTG